GCCCCTAAACTTTCTCCAGGCATTGTGAAGCTTTCACACTCAGATCAATTGATCCAGCTTCTTCAACTACTGAATACCTCCTGTAGTGTGACCAGGCCATGTCCAGGTGTCTGAAAGAAGAGGGGAGGCAAAAGAGAAGTCTCATTTCGTATAAATTTGTGTAGCAGTTTAATATGTATTAATTTGAAGTGCTTTTAATAGTAAAGCTCTATTAAAGTCATTGAATCCTAGAGCACTATAGTCTGTCATACACAATTTTTCTTTTAGACAAGAGCCTCCAGCAGAGTGGTTCAGTTAACTGGAACATACGAAGTTCCTGTTAATAGTTTTGGAGATCCAGGACTCCCTAAGTCTAGCAACACAGTTGTCTCTGACACCCTAAGTCTAGCAACAGCTGAATGGGAGGGTTTTCTCCTGTTCTAGGATCTACATTTTTGGTCAGCTGCTGTCAGGAACTCTATTTACTTATAGTTATCTGATAAAGGAGTGATCTAGGTGAAAGTATGGAGAGCGCTGTGTTAATCACATTATCAAAATTTTATAGATTTTCCTTTTTAGATCTCATTTTTGTTTTTGCAGCACATGCAAACCTTTATTCAAAATTCAAGTTCTTCAGTCTTTTCCAGTTTTGTCTGGGGCAAGATGAAGTTAAAGTTGAACTCCGGGGGTGGGGCGGGGGAGCACTTACCCTAATCCTCAGCTCCGGCTAGCACCTTCATGCTGCTAGAGCCTCTTCTCCCCTATGCTTCAGCGGCTAAAGGTCCACTGACCTCATCAAGACATCAATGCTGGTCTGCATTGGATATGAGGATGTCAAGGGATGGTATATTGCCAGAACGTGGGAAAGCAAAGCATTAGGTAAGGAAAACTGCTTTTCCATCCCTAGACATGACCAAGCAGTCCCACTATAGGGAAGGAAGTTTTCCTTTTTCTGAAGTTTGATTTTAAGGTAAACCGACCCATAAAATACCATAAGTATAAAGTGTAAACCTTAAAACTAGTCCCTTAGACTCCAGTCTCACTTTTTCCTTTTGAAATGAGTGCACCCCCCTTTAAATATAACTTTACAAGCTTTGTTACAGTTTTTTACAAAGTTTGTAGTATTACTTCATTTAGAGTGCAGGAATAAATAATATTATCTGTTGTCCTTGTAGCATAAAGTATCTGAGAGTTAGACTATATTTTGCTTATAGGGCAATTCCACCTTTACATTCAAAGTGTAACTATGAATTACCAGCACCCTTTCTTTGGTCATTGCTGCACTTATTTGCCATGCCGATCATTTTCCACAGCTCATATAAATGTACGCTTTTGCAGTCAAATTGAGAAAGCCCCACTATACGTTTGTGTTTCCATTCTCACACCATACCTAAAACCTCTTTTAACATACAGTGGAGAAGCCCAGCTTCTAAACTATTAACCCTTTGTTAGGACAAACCATGTTCAAATCTAGTTTTCAACTGATGAGAGGAGATCTGGCAACACAGTAGAAACAGGAGCATCTTAAAAAGGTAGGCCGCAAATTTTAAATATTTTGCTATAAAGCAGTAGTAAACACCGCTTGCTAACTTTTATAATATAGCTTTCCTGTAGTTACCAAGGAATATCCCCTAAATGAGCACCTTCTAGGAGATATTCACTGTTTCTGCAGCCAGTGACATCACAGACGCATGCGCTGTGAATGAAGGGCATACTGCATATGCTGACCTTTCAGAGTGCTGTGCCGTGATCGTGGCACCCTTGTACATGTGCAAGAGTAATGCCGTAGCTCAGCCATTCAAACAGCTGGAGCTCACGAACCTGGAAGGAAGATCAGAGAAGGATGAAGAAACCGTGTCAGCGGCTCTCATAATGTGCTTGTATGTGATGCATACTAGCACATTATGACATTCTCTTGAATAGTGTTTTTTGTTTTGTTTTTCTTGTGTATGTTTTTTTGTTTTTGTTTGTTTTTTCCTCCACACTATACTACCGCTTTTAAATTATGTGAAAGGACATGTAACAAATATAAAGCAGGTGTTATCCCAGTTTGGCTGCAAAAGTAAAAATATACTTAACTTGCCCTCCCAGAAGATTTACCCACCTTCCTGACTAGGCCATTTTTTGCGATCTCTTGATACCAAGCCATCTTTCTTGTGGTTACCTATGGGTTTCTCTTTGTATCCTGAACAATTCTTCTGTTAGTTGTGGCTGCAATCTTTCTTGGTCTACCTGACCTTGGCTTGGTATCAAGAGATCCCGGAACTTTCCACTTCTTAATAGGTGATTTAACAGTACTGATTGGCATGTTCAAGGCTTTGGACATCTTTTTATGTCCTTTTCCATCTTTATAAAGTTCCATTACCTTGTTACGCAGGACTTTTGACAGTCCTTTTCCGATCCCCTTGGCTGAGTATGTAGCCTAGTCAGTGCTTCCACATAAGAGCTAAACAAACTCATTGACTATTTATACACTGACACTAATTGCAATTTAAAAAGCCGCAGATGTGGGACTTTAACCTCTAATTGGCATTTTAACCCGTGTGTGTCACCTTGTGTCTGTACCAAGACCAAACATTCCAGGGTATGTAAACTTTTGATCCGGGCCATTTGGGTGACTTCTGTTATGATTTAAAAAGGAGCCAAACAACTATTTGATAATAAATGGCTTCATCTGATCATATCATCATCCTTCAATAAAAGAGCACTTTTTGGCATGATCAGTCATATTCTCAATATCAATGCCAAAATTTCACAATTTCAGCCAGGTTTATGCAAACCTTTGAGCACAAGTGTGTGTGTGTGTGTGTGTGTGTGTGTGTGTGTGTGTGTGTGTGTATGTGCAGAGCAATACAAAGTAGCATGCTGTTGCTGACAGGGAAGAGATCTGTATTTACATACAAATCTCTCCCCTGTCCGTGTTCTTCGGCGATCGCCGGGACCTGGTGATCGACACCTGTAGCCGCCAATGGCAGCGCGGGAAGGGTGGCGCGCGCCACCCACCCGTACATACAAAATCACGTGTATATATACATGATTTTGCACAGCCCTGCCACCCTGTAGCAGTAGTTCTGCTATAGCATGGTCAGGAGCAGTTAGTTTTTTGGTTTTTTTTTTCTGTACATGCCGTTGTGTCCTAGTGACAAGTGTCCCTAATGAAGTCACTGCAGAATTACAAAAATGTCAATAAGTTTTTAACACTTTTCCACATCTAAAATGAAAATAAAAATGTCTGGAGTTGGGTTAAATCCCTTTTTTGGTTTGCCACATGATGGTCTAGGTCAGGGGTCTGCAACCTTTAAGACATAAAGAGCCACTTGGACCCGTTTCCGAGAGGGAAAAAAAGACTGGGAGCCGCAAAACCATTGCAACATTTAAAACAAATCCGACACTGCATATATTGCGAAAAGCGCTCTGGTCATGAAGGGGCTTTAAGGGCCCAGTAAGCAAAGGGTTAACCAGGGCCACAGTGTATCGTCATAATCACAATCATAGCCTTAGGTCAGTGGTGGGCAACCTTTTTTTTCAACTGAGCCAAATCTCGCCAAAACCACGATTGAAATTTATTTTGAGAGAAACATTTTTAAAACTGAAAATACATCCCCCATATAGTAATTCATCCCCCATATAGTAATTCATCCCCCATATAGTAATTCATCCCCCATAGTAATTCATCCCCCATATAGTAATTAATTCATCCCCCATAGTAATTCATCCCCATAGTAATTCATCCCCCATAGTAATTCATCCCCCATATAGTAATTCATCCCCCATATAGTAATTCATCCCCCATATAGTAATTCATCCCCCATATAGTAATTCATCCCCCATATAGTAATTCATCCCCCATATAGTAATTCATCCCCCATATAGTAATTCATCCCCCATATAGTAATTCATCCCCCATATAGTAATACATCCCCCATATAGTAATTCATCCCCCATATAGTAATTCATCCCCATATAGTAATTTCCCCCCTATAGTAATTCATTCCCCTGTGTCAATTCACTTACCTTTGCTCCGCGCGTTCCTCTAGCTGTGTTCCCGCGCCGTTCTGGTCTTCAGGGCGGACTGTGAGAGGAGAGGAGTTCGTCACGCTGCCCCGCCTACATCCTGACAGCCAATGTTTGGAGGAGGGAGGGGAGCGGGCGCCCGGCACATAGAAGAGCTGCATTAAAAGAGCCGCGGCTTGCCGACCCTATTGCCTGTCACCTGGTGGGCAGTGTGCTCTGGAGCCGCAGGAAAGGTGAAAAAGAGCCGCGGGTTGCCGACACCCGGTCTAGGTCATTCTATCCAAACCTTATTCTTGCTTGTAAATGTAAGAGTTCTCATCACTCAAACACCCGAAAGCTATAGACCTAAAAGGTTAAGTGGATCAACTCTCCAGCATCATTCAAAAACTGAAATATCAGATGTTCATGAATGGGCTCTTCTAAATCATTTTATTTAAACTGCCAGGCACTTGCAGGCTCCATTCACAACTGAATATATATGAAAAATGCGCGCTCTCGCACATTTTTAATGTATTACCTCCCTTCGCACCTAGGGCAGCTTGTACACTTGAATGGGCTGCCTAACATGAAACAAATGCCACAAAGTAGCTACAGAACCTTATCAGTTTCAAAATGTCGAGTGTTATTCAGTGCATGTTTTGGTGTGTTTGTACTGCCACAAACGCATGGCAAAATGCGCATCTGCTACCCGCGCTTGGGGGATGCAGTTATTTAATGGCACAGCAAACATGAACCACAATTTCAGCCTTTTTCCAAAAACATATGGCAAAAATGCACATGTTTGTGCGTTTTGTCGCGTGTTTACGAATTGCACAGGTGTGAATGCAGCCTCAAGGGCAAGCTTTGTCTGAAGTGTAAATTGCAATACTGTGATTTATTTAAATGTTTTTTGTGTTCACAGATATTTTGTTGTAGTTTCTCAAGATGCATTGACCTTGTGTAACATCTTCTAACACAGTTTCTGAATATTTTATGTTCTAGTGATCACATGGTCTTCTAAAGAAGCAATGGGTAGCTGTTGTAGCTGTCCAGATAAAGAAGCTTTTGCAGATAACCAGCAAAATAGGTTTAAGGTAAGTTTTTAATTTTTTATTTGTTATGGTATAAAGTGACTCTGTCAGCAAAGCCTAGCCTGTAAAACAAGAATGTATGTACTTATTTCTTCCTACTATGTTCATGAGAACTTGGCACCCAAAGTCTGGTGGGAAACTAAAACTTAAAACTTTGGTGTTCTCCCTGCTGATCTCCTTGTTATTAAGGTATCCTGCAGAGACCTGGAGGTCACCAATTGGAACCAGCAGGAGCTGCAGGTGACCAGGGGGGGTGAAGCAGTGCTAAGTATATACACTCTTCCTTCACAGGAAGCTATGTTTTGCTGGAAAATTTTTACTATAACAACATAAAAAAAAAAAAAAAAAAAAAAAAAAAAATGTGAGGACAGTATGAACACCCTCCAAATGACTTTTTTTTTTTTTTTTTTTTTTTTTTTTTTTTAATACTCCAAGGTCATCTCCTCCTTTTTTACCTTCTTTTTTTTTTTTTTTTTTTTATAAAATAAAGAAGCATGCTTTTACTGAAGTGTTTAAAACATTGAGCTAAGCAATGGTGCACTAGATACAGCACATCGTTAATCACTTGCCGACCGCCCTATAGCAGAAATACTGCTACAAGGCGGCAGCGGTGCACAAAATCACATATATACATGATTTTGCATTTCCGGGTAGGGGGTGCGCGCGAGCCGCCATTCGTGGCCGCGGATGTCAACCACTGGGTCCGGGCCAGTAATTACTCACCGGCGCCCAATTTCCTCCCTGTCAGCTCTGGCACACTGTGGATAGCTTTTATATTCTTATTCTTGATATTTGCCAGCTGTGCTATGTACTTGCTTCCTTTGTGTTCCTACCAGTCTCTCTGTTTTCCCAATAAAAATGGACCACAGTAGGCATGAGCGTGGTCAGTTCTCTAGTTGTGCTGGAAGCTAATGCAATGATCAGGCTTGTGCCCGACAGCCCCCTCTCCCCCCTTGCACAGCCGTTCACTGAGAAAATCGGTGTCCTGCAGTTTCTCCCTGAGCTCCTTGCGCAGTTGAGAACAGAGGGAATGTGATCACCTATTATAAAGGGGGAAAAAAAGTATTTACAATGTTTGTTTATGCACACGCAAATATTTAGCCTTTCATTTGTATTTTAAATGTTCGTCTACGCCAATTTCCGAGAGCTTGTTCAAGAAAGTGGAGTTTCACTGTAAATGTTAGCAGTTTTATGATTGATATGTTTTTTCTCCTGTCATTCTGAAAGGTTATTAATGTGGATGATGATGGTAATGAGTTGGGCTCTGGCGTGATGGAGCTGACAGAAAATGAACTCATCTTGTACACACGCAAGCGCGACTCTGTCAAATGGCCTTACCTCTGTTTACGCCGCTATGGATATGATTCAAACCTTTTCTCTTTTGAAAGTGGGCGGCGGTGCCAGACTGGGCAAGGTGAGTTATAGACTTTTCCTTAATGATGACAGAAAATAATATAATAGAAGTAGTGGCATATACCTTGATTCTGACACAACACCTAGCATTCTCCAAATGAAAACATTTAAAGTGACACTAAACCCAAGGAAAAATATTACAGGCATATACATTGCCTTTTAATGGTTACCACCTGTGTCCCTTCTAATTTTTGCATCAGACAGCATGTCCACAAAAATATCTAAGTGCAACTTCCTTGAGAGTGACTACATTGGCTATACATGGTCCTACTGTGTTTGGGAACTTGGCTACCCTCCTCTGCTTGCTCCTGAAAGTAATAACTTGCCAACACATCCAGCACCGTCACATCAAAACAAGAAAAATGTTCAGAGATAAAATCTCCGCCCATGCAGCCTAAATGAACAACAATGGAGGTGCATGTGCAGTAGCCTCTCTAAGTGCATTGATAGTTGTGTAATGTAGTTTGAGCAGAGTGGTGCATGTGACCATGGTAAATGTGCATTGCTTGCTACCAATAATCAGAAATTCAGGGGAAAAAGGTTATGTCAGGGAGTGCCTGGGAGCAATCATTTAAAGAACAAAAGAATGGTATGTGTAAGAAATCTTCACCTTTTAAGAAATATCGGTGATATAGTAGTCTGTGCTAGATTTGGTGATCTCAGGAGGAAAACTTCAACTAATGCAGGAGCCAGCAGCACAAGGGACTCATATTGATAGTAAGTAATGGCCCTTGTTCATAATATATTCTTTTTTTTTTTTTTCCCTTATACTAAATGTAAGCTTTAATTTTGACATTTCTCATGAAATATGCATGTGACATATATATATATACAGTATCTCACAGAAGTGAGTACACCTCTCACATTTTTGTAAATATTTTATTCTATCTTTTCATGCTACAACACTGAAGAAATGACACTTTGCTACAATGTGACGTAGTGAGTGTACAGCTTGTATAACAGTGTAAATTTGCTGTCCCCTCAAAATAACTCAACACACAGCCATTAATGTCTAAACCACTGGCAACAAAAGTGAGTACAACCGCTAAGTGAAAATGTCCAAACTGGGCCCAAAGTGTCAATATTTTGTGTGGCCACCATTATTTTCCAGCACTGCCTTAACCCTCTTGGGCATAGAGTTCACCAGAGCTTCACAGGTTGCCACTGGAGTCTTCCACTCCTCCATGACGACATCATGGAGCTAGAGGATGTTAGAGACCTTGCGCTCCTCCACCTTCCGTTTGAGGATGCCCCACAGATGCTCAATAGGGCTAAGGTCTGGTGACATGGTTGGCCAGTCCATCACCTTTACCCTCAGCTTCTTTAGCAAGGCAGTGGTAGTCTTGGAGGTGTGTTTGAGGTTGTTATGTTGGAATACTGCCCTGCGGCCCAGTCTTCGCAGGGAAGGGGTCATGCTCTGCTTCAGTATGTCACAGTACATGTTGGCATTCATGGTTCCCTCAATGAACTGTAGCTCCCCAGTGCCGGCAGCACTCATGCAGTCCCAGACCATGACACTGCCACCACCATGCTTGACTGTAGGCAAGACACACTTGTCTTTGTACTCCACACCTGGTTGCCGCCACACATGTTTGACACCATCTGAACCAAATAAGTTTATCTTGGTCTCATCAGACCACAGGATATGGTTCCAGTAATCCATGTCCTTAGTCTGCTTGTCTTCAGCTAACTGTTTGTGGGCTTTCATGTGCATCATCTTTAGAAGAGGCTTCGTTCTGGGACAACAGCCATGCAGACCAATTTGATGCAGTGTGCGGCGTATGGTCTGAGCACTGACATGCTGAACCCCCCCCCCCCCCCCACAACCCCTTCAACCTCTGCAGCAATGCTGGCAGTGCTCCTATGTCTATTTCCCAAAGACAACCTCTGGATATGACGCTGAGCATGTGCACTGAACCTCTTTGGTCGACCATGGCGAGGCCTGTTCTGAGTGGAACCTGTCCTGTTAAACCAATGTATGGTCTTAGCCACCGTGCTGCAGCTCAGTTTCAGGGTCTTGCCAATCTTTATGTAGAGCAACAATTCTTTTTTCAGGTCCTCAGAGAGTTCTTTGCCATGAGGTGCCAGTGACCAGTATGAGAGAGTAAGAGCGATAACACCAAATTTAACACACCTGAGACCTTGTAACACTAACAAGTCACATGACACCGGTGAGGGAAAATAGCTAATTGGGTCCAATTTGGACATTGTCACTTAGGGGTGTACTCACTTTTGTTGCCAGCAGTTTAGACATTAATGGCTCTGTGTTGAGTTATTTTGAGGGGACAGCAAATTTACACTGTTATACAAGCTGTACACTCACTACTTTACATTGTAGCAAAGTGTCATTTCTTCAGTGTTGTCACATGAAAAGATATAATAAAATATTTACAAAAGTGTGAGGGGTGTACTCACTTCTGTAAGATACTGTAATTAGCATTGTATTGGTTTATTTGGTAGTCTTAATGGTAAGACATTTTTAATGCAGCACAATGGCTAGTATCTTGGTGTCGCAGTCTGACAATATAAAGTTTTGTACACAAATTGCAAAACAGCATTTGTTGCGGTGTTCGTGTAGACACACAGAGTGAGTGCAACAAGAGACAGGAAGACTGTATCTGTGAAAATGGATATATATAAAAAAAATTGGTTTGTACCTCTGGCCACTTCCAATTTTTCCCTTTTTTTATTAGCTATCCTTGTTTATCTCATTTGTTTGTCAGTAAAACTAAAGAAAAGGTATCTACGGATCCCTAGAACCCCAAAAGCCAGGGACATTAGAACATCTGCCACCTGTTGGTAGCAAAGGCCATGCTAACCTTTTCTTCTTCCACCATCAGTCAGTTATTGAGCGCCTCAGTCTTGATTAAATCACACTTGTATTCTTATCTTAAAGCTATTTTAATATCCTTGCTGAGTAGAATAAATTGAATGTCTAAACGCCTAAAAAAAAAACAAAACAAAACTTACTTTTCTGAAGAAAACCCTGCATGACATAAGCAAAAGCCTAAGTGTTCCATACTGAAAGGAGAGGATTAGCCAATTTTGAACTCTGATCTTCATTTTTTAGCAAAGGTCACCTTCGCAGATATCTTTGCTTTTGCTCAAAAGTTGGCATTGTAGGTTACCTGGAGCCATTTTTTTGAGGACTAATTCACACAGTTTGCGGTAACAGATGTTTTTACTGCAGTGTAAAATGACTGTCACAGCAGGGACACACAGGAAACTATTTTTTCCTGTGTCCCGATCACATTGCAATGCACCTACTACTGTGCTGCGGTAAAATGCAGACATTCGTTCCCTCTTGTGTAACTCAAGTATATCACATATGATGCACTTAACTTTTATATTTTTTGGGATGTGAATTTCTTTGGTTTGGAACTACATATTGTAACAGATGTTGTGGGAATGTCAACTCCCGTTTTTATATGCCCTTTTTTTTTTTTCCCCAATATTTGCTTTGTACATGGAAAATTATAAATAAAGATTATGCATTTTATCACAGCACACTGTGCCGATCACACGGCAATGTAAGACTGTGCGTCACACACTGCCCTATATAGCAGTGAATGAAGTGTACGTTTATTCCAAAAAAATAAAAGGAGCTGTGTGATGGGTGAAGAGGCACAGGGGCACCTTTGAACAGCAGTATTGTTAATCTTGGGGGAGGGGATTGTTAGATATACTAGCAGATTTAGATACACTAATTGAAGCCAAACTAGCTAGAGTTCATTCATCTTCTTATTCTTGACTGTAGGGTTGTAGCGCTACCTTCAGGAGTTGAACACCAGACACAAAAATGAACATAGCACTGCCTATGGGCATTCTTAACTGGTAGTCAACCCCCTATCTGATATAGGCAGTTCAGTTTTTTTTTTTCTGCCTAGTGTAAGGAGAAAGGCCATAGTTCCCTACTGGGATCTGTAGTTCCATAGTTTTTTTTTTTTTTTTTTTTTTTTTTCTGTTTTTTTTCCTGTGGAGATCTTGAATCAACAGCTGAGCTGAGCTGGATAACCTAGATCCAGTAGTTGCCCCAGCCTGGCCATTGAGCGCATGCAGACCTCTTGCTATGTGAGGGGTCAACTGCAACTTCCCTATCGTCGATACTAGGGCAGTCTAAGGGTTCCTCACGGGGGTGCCTATGATTGAGTGACCTTGTTGCTCTGTCAGTGTCCCACACCATCACCCCCCCTTCCCAGGGCAGACAGCACCCCTGGTTACAGCAGAGAGGTGTCCTGTCGGGCGTAGGTACCCTCCTGCATCAGTTGGTAAGGAGCATGGTACACCATTCCTTCTCATTTCCTTCCCTGGGTGACCGGTTTGTCGATTACCTTATGTTTCCCTCTGCTCCCTTCTGTAAGTTTCTGTGTACTCCCTCAGTGGTGGGGACTTGTGTACCAGGCAGTAGAAGCTTGTTTGCGGTAGTTTCCCCATCAAGCAGGCAGCTCCCAACCTTGGGTGTAGGAGGCTCGACTTTTTCCTCTGGATGTCCTGGAGAGAGGGCAATGTAGGCAACAGGAGCAGCTCTGCGTCCCGTCATTGCCCATTATTCCTGTCTCTCTAGGTTTAAACACAACCATGATTCCAATGGTGGAGGCCTCTCTCGAGTATTTTGCTTCAGGTTTGAGGACATGAAGAAGCTAGTCACCCATCTTAGGTTTAGGGTCACTGGCTCAAGCTCGTGTTTTGGCCATGGTTGGTTCCTGGTGGATGTGATGGATGCTCCTGTGGTGTCATGGAGCCATTACCATCTCATTTACTCTTCCTCCTCTCTAGCTTCTCCCTCATCTGCTGCACAGTATAGAGGCCACAGGGATCCCAGGCTTTCTGATGGCTGTGGATCGGTGTTGGTGATCCTGATGTGCTGACATGGTGCCGCTCTTTTGCGGTAAGGTCTTCTGTCCCAAGGAATGATCTTCCACTCTGTTTTACCATCACTGGCATTGGTGGCTTGGCTTTTAAACCTAGGTTCTAAGAGACAGGGTTTTTTTTGGGGTTCTGTGATTCCCACCATGTTGAAGGCTCAAAGCCACATCTCAGAAGATTTTTGATTGTACTTGGAAGGCGTACATGTTGTAGTGTGAGGCTGCGGATTTGACCCATGTGTCTGAAATGTTGGCCTTTCTCCAGCAGGACAGTGATCAGTAACTGGCCTTGACCATTAATGGCCGGGTTTCTGCTTTTGCAATTTGTTTTTTTTTTCCCCAACGCCCTTTGACCAGGCAATTCCCTGAGTTCTACTTTAGTTCAAGGGGTTCGGCATGTAGCTCCACCATTCTGATCTCCATTGCCACCCTGGGACATTTTTTTTGTTTTTGTTTTCGTAAACCTCCTTTTGAGAATGGGGATCTTCCCTTGCTTACTCTCTCAGAAGGTCACCTTTTGGTTGCTATTACTCCTGCACGCTGTGTGTCAGAGCTGGCAGCCTTGTTCATGCTCTTCACATCCTAAGGGGGTTGCACTGTACTCCTTGGATGTAGTCCGGGCAATTCATGTGTACCTGTCTGCTACTGCCTCTCTTGAGATCGGGATCTTTTTTTGCCTGGCAGCCTCCTCTGCCACTATTTCTCATTGAACAACCAAAAAAAACCCATGCCAAAAAATGTTTAAAAAATTTAAATCGTGAATGATAAACGTTGCTATAGGTAGCTCCTGCTCTCATCTACGTGTATAATATACACCGATAGACAAGAAAAGGCGCTGCGCATACCTAAAATGTGAAACCTATTCCATTGAAAAGTGCTACAGTGTGCTAAAGTGCAACTGTGCAAAACCAATTCATGTGTGCTGTTGCTTGGTGCTACTTTCCAACACGCGATCTTAAAGAATAAGTTCACCTTTACCTTAAAATAATAAATGCACTTTTTTTTTTCTTTTTGTTTTGTTTAGGAGCCTGTAAAGCAGGGGTCTCCAAACTTTATTCGCAAGGGGCCAGTTTACTGTCCTTTAGACTTTAGGGGGGGCCGGACTGTGGCCATTGGGAGAAGAAAATGTCATGGCATCAGTGGGAGTAAACAATACCTCATTGGTATTAACGGGAGATATAGTGCTACATCACTGCTGTCAATGGGAGAAATAGTTTCCCATTGTTGGTGTCAGTGGGATGAATAGTGCCCCATCATTGGTGTCAGTGGGAAGAATAATGCCCCATTATTTTTGTCAGTGGAAGGAATAATGCCCCATTGTTGGTGTCAGTGTGGGAATTATGCTCCACTATTGCTGAAGGTGGGGGGAATAATGCCCCAAGGGCCAGATAAGAGCAAGCAAAGGGCTACAGTTTGGTGACCACTGCTGTGAAGCATTGCAGCAGCAATCAGCAGATCACTGGTGCCATGCAGGACTCCTGCAGACCTGTCAGTGCATCTTTGTACCTGTACATCATACAAGCAAGCAGATACACTCTGACAGGGCGCCGTGGTAGTTCATTGAGAACTACAAGCTGACAGCCGCAAAGGCTGTCGGAACTTGTAGTTTTCGCATTCACAGAATACTGTGGATGAGTGACGTGGCCGGGCGCTTCGTGCCTCCTGGGCACTCGGACATCAGGCGTCTTGTGTCTCGTTTCAAGGCGACTACCTGGTTGTTTGTGTACACCTTTTTCCATGTTTTTACAATGTGGATGTTTGGGTATCTTCGGATGCATGTTTCAGCTGTGATGTTTTGCAGGCGGCCATTGGATGATTCTTGTTTCTCTTCTGGGGGGGGTTCTCAGGTGCAATTACATATTCTTTTTTTCTTTGGTTATCCACCCCTCACTGTGGTACTGCTTCGTAATATCTCTTTGCTCTATTTTTCACCAATGTCCGTCAATGAGCATATGAGAAAACAGGATTTTTTTTTTGTTACCGTAAAACCCCTTTCTCTGAGTTAGTTGTCAGACACAGCACCCACCCCTCCTCTGATTATTTTTATTTTTTTTTTCCTTGCAGTGCTTTGTGACAAAATAAGCTGCCTATAGCAGAGACGGAATTGACTACCAGTTAAAACTGCCCACATGTGGTGCTGTTTTTTTTTTTTTTGTTTTTTTTTTCTACCTGGTGTCCTACACCTGAAGGTGACATTATAACCCAGTCAATAATAATGAAGAGCTGTGCCTATAAATGAGTTCAGACAAAAATTTTTTACAGTGCATAACAAAAATCCGTTTTATTATCTTTCCTGATAAAGGTTTTACACAAAAGCTGACCATTGTCAGTGCTGACCATGGAAGGTTTTTTTCTTAATGCATAAAATGTATTAAGAAATAAACCCTTAATCCTTTATAACCACTTTAACATCCAGGGAGGTACTCTAGGTTAACTCAAGAGGGGTAGGAGGGTGAGTTTTAGTGTTAATGTACAGTTGTCCTAATATCTAGTGAGCATCAGTTAGACCAGATGATCTCATAAATAAGATGTTGCATGTTTTGAATAAGCACTCAAGGACCGCAAATCACATCATACAGTAAAGTTCCTTTTGTAACAAGAATATTAATTTTAACTTAATGCTTGCAAAAGGAAGTGCAATCCAAAGCTGGAACCTCACTGGTTGTCTTTGCTGGTACTGGTAAGTTGGGCTCCCTCTGCTGTCCAAAGACGCACGGTACATGAATATCAATGCCTCCTTTGTACTGTCTGTCTTCTTTCCCTCTCCCATCTCTCCCAGAGGCCTACATGAAAGGGGCAGTTGCTTTCTTTTTCACTGCACTACGGACTAAAACAAATATTGCATTGCATATCATGACTGCATAGCTACATAATTGCCACTTCTCTTTAATCCTTTTAGAGGCCCTAATGTTTCCTAGTATTTGCATCCTCATGTACCAAGCATACAACCTATACCTCATGTTATTGCTTTCCTTATGCAGGATATCTTGGTATGTTGTGTTTTCTTCTTGTCACAGTGAATGGTCAGTAGTGTTGTGAATATCCCAGATTGTGTGTATTTTTCCTTTTATCTCCTAGTTTTATGATGGAAGATCTCATTCATTTTTTTTTTTTAATTTCCAGGAATTTTTGCCTTTAAATGTGCTCGTGCAGAAGAGCTTTTTAATATGTTGCAAGAAATCATGCAAAATAATAGTATAAGTGTTGTAGAAGAACCAGTGGTGGAAAGAAGTCCTCAAACAGAGCTTGATGTCCCAAGAACTCCACGCACCCCCACAAGTAAGCACTAATCATATACTAAAATGCTAAGGTACTAGTTTTCTTTGACCTTGTTCTCTGTTGATGATGAACCCACAAAAAATGTTCACATAAATATATGCATTTATCCATACCATATATACAGTGCATTCATAAAATATTCAGACCCCTTCACTTTTTTCAATTTTGTTATGTTGAAGCTTGATGCATTTTTTTGCTCATTAATCTACACTCAGTACCCCATAATGACAAATTGAAAACAGAATTTTAAAAAATATTTGCAAATGTATGAAAAAGTGAAAACTGAAATATCACATTGGCATAAAGCAGGCGATACATGGGTTGAATTCCGAACGATTTTTCAATTGAAAACGTTGTTCATTATGTAATCAGATGTTGCCAGCAATGATTTAGAAAATTGGTCCTTTTTTAATGAGTTTTCCAACATGCCTGATAAACGAAATGGGGAGGAACCACGAAAATCGGCCGGTGCCATTGCCCCTCTAACAGAGCAAAAATCGGTGTATATTCTTAGGTCCGATTTTTGAACGAAAGGTCGTTCGGAAATCGACCCATGTATGGCCGGCCTAAGTATTCAGACCCTTTGCAACAACACTTGAAAATTAGCTTAGGTGCCTCCCGTTTCTCTTGATCATTGCTGAAATTTTTATACACCTTGATTAGAGTCCACCTGTGGTAAATTAGATTGATTGGACATGATTTGGAAAGGCACACACCTCTGTATAAAAGGCCTCACAGCTGACAATGCATACTTATCAGAGCAAAATCCATGAGGTCAAAGGAACTGCCTGCAGAGCTCGGTGACAGGATTATTGCAAGGCACAGATCTTGGGAAGGCTACAAAAAATGTCTGTTGTACTGAAGGTCCCCATGAGCACAGTGGCCTCCATAATTTTCAAATGGAAGAAGTTTGGCACAACCAGGACTCTTCCAAGAGCTGGTCACCATGCCAAACTGAGCAATCAGGGGAGAAGGGCCTTAGTAAGAGAGGTGACCAAGAACCTTCTAGTCACTCTGACTGAGCTCCAGAGATCCTGTGTGGAGATCGGGTGAAGTTCCAGGAAGACAACCATCACAGCAGCCCTTCACCAATATGGACTTTATAGCAGAGTTTCTAGATGGAACCTTCTCAGTGAAAAACACATGAAAGCCCTCTTGGAGTTTGCAAAAAAGCACCTGAAGGACTGTGAGGTACAAGATTCTCTTGTCTGATGAAACCAAGATTGAACTGTTTGGCCTCAGTTCTAAATGTTATGTCCGGAGGAAACCAGGCACCGCTCATAACCTGCCCAATACCATCCCAACAGTGAAGCATGGTGGTAGCATCATGTCATGGGGGTGTTTTTCAGCAGAAGCGATTGGGATACTGGTCAGGGTTAAAGGAAGGCTGGATGGAGCAAAGTACAGAGATCTCCTCCATGATAACCTGTTCCACAGTGCACAGGACCTCTGGGCCAAAGGTTAACCATCCAACATGACAAGGATCCTAAGAAAACAGCCACGACAACACAGGAGTGGCTTGGGGACACCTCTGTGAATGTCCTAGAGTTCGACTTCCTTTGTTAATATACACTGAATAGCATTGAATATTAACCTTTCAGATGCTCACAGTGAGCATGGCTTACTTGCTGAGTTGTATTGAATTATACCTGACGGCCCTGCTAATTTTTAGCTGTAGTCTGATGATCCAGGAATGGTGCTGGAACATCCTCCTTTCTGTTCCTCATACACGCAATTACCAGAACTTTTTCATGATCACCAGAGTAAAACCTGCCTTGGGCAAAATTGGATTGGTGATGCAGGTGAAGCACAAAAGAAAAAAAAAAAAATGCATAGGTATCAAGAAGTACAGTGCTACTCACCCTCCGCAGAGCTATGGGTGCTTACGTTGCAAGAGATTACGGAACTCAGTGTATCTAAACACAGAACATAAATGTTAAATAAACTATATTGCCAAACGTATTAGGACAAATCTTCAAATAATTGGATTCAGCTCCTCCATGGCCACAGGTGTATAAAATCAAGCACCTAAGCATGCAGACTGCTTCTACAAACATTTGTGAAAGAATGGGTAACTCTCAGGAGTCGCCTGTGCAATAAGTCCATCCATGAAATTTCCTTGCTACTAAATATTCCATGGTCAACTGTTAGTGGTTCTATAACATAGTAGAAGCAACTGAGAACAGCAGCAAAAAGTGGTAGGCCACCTAAAATGACAGAGCAGGGTCAACGCATGCTGAAGCGCACAGTGCGCAGAAGTTGCCAACTGTCTGCAGAGTCAGTAGCTAAAGACTTCTAAACTTCATGTGTCCTTCAGATTAGCACAACAGTGAGAACTTCATGGAATGGGTTTCCATGGCTGAGCAGCTGCATCCAAGCCTCACATCACCAAGTGCAATGCAAAGTGTTGGATGCAGTGGTATAAAGCATGCCGCCACTGGACCCTAGAGCAGTGGAGACGTGTTTTCTGGCGTGACCAATTACACTTCTCTGTCTGGCAATTTGAAGGACGTATCTGGCTTTGGTGGTTGCCAGAACGGTACTTGCCTGACTGCATTGTGCCAAGTGTAAAGTTAGGTGGATGGGGGATTGTGGTGTGGGGTTGCTTTTCAGGGATTGAGCTTGGCCCCTCAGTTCCAGTGAAGGGAACTCTTAAAGCGTCAGCATACCAAGACATTTTGGACAATTTTATGCTCACTTTGTGGGAACAGCTTGGGAATGGCCCCTTCCTGTTCCAACATGAGTTCTGACCTCAACTCAGTTGAACACCTTTAGGATGAATTAGAGTGTAGACTGTGAGCCAGGCCTTCTCGTCCGAAATCAGTGCCTGACTTCACAAATGCGCTTCTGGAAGAATGGCCAAACATTCCTATAGACACACTCCTAAACCTTGTGGACAGCCTTCCCAGGAGAGTTGAAGCTGTTTATAGCTTCAAAGGGTGGGCCAACTTAATATTAAACCCTACGGACTAAGACTGGGATGCCATTAAAGTTCATGTGCAGGCAGGTGTCCCAATACTTTTGGCAATATAGTGTATGTTGACCACCAGTTCTTTGATGTGGTGACTGCATTAGGCTTCATGTACACGGGCAGCTCCTAAACTCGAGTTTAGGAGCTTTTGGCATTTTTTTTTTTTGCCAAAGCTCCTAAACTCAACTCCATAAAAGCCTATATGTCCATTTAGGTGAGGTTAAACCTCCCTCCTATCCTGAACACGATTTTCTGTGTTCAGGAGAAAGTGTTGACCGCCGACTGTGGGAAACTGCAAACATGCAACAGCGGTACCGCTGTTGTGATTTTGCGGCAATTTGCTTTTTCCTGCGGTCAGGGTAGGCTCGTGTACATGGAGCCTTAGGTTCTCATCTTTCAGACTAGGAACATTTTCAGCAAGTGTAAAAATACTCATTGTTCTTATAATGTGGTGTCCTTGTCATTCCCTCTGAGCTGAAAATAACAATTTTTATCTCTTTTGTAATCTATTCTATTGGGTCAACCATGTATTGAAGATCAACAAAGGCAAACATGTTTAAAGTCCAGCGTGTGTGACTTCCATTGCTCCCACCATACATACAGTTTACAGGCTTTCTAGGTGAAAATATAGGAAAACCAAGCCTGAATATAGAAAACAATTGCAGCTGCCTTATCTAAGGACTGTATGTTGCCATAAACCTTTCTTGTTCTAAGGTTTAGATACGCCTTATGAAGTGTATCTAAAAAAATGTTTTATTTTTCAATAAAGTAGAGAAGCTTTTGACTTTTTAAACAGTTGCTGTGTTTACAGGATAGAATTGCCTAATGCCTTGTATGTATGTGGTGCTTGGAATAGCTCAATAAGGCAACATAGGAATAGCATAAAAGGGCAACCTATATTGTCAAATCATAAAATGTAGATTTTCTAAAACTACTGAAAACTTGCATAGGGCCGTTTTTTAAATGTGATTACTGGCTTTTCTTCCTTTTTACTATAGCTCAGAGAAGGAGCTGTCATTCTCAGATGGCTAAAAGAAACAAAGGGGCTGGATTACCCAGTGACCCCACCCCTTAGTTTCCTTTAGCTCTGGGGAAACGGACAGCTCATTCTCTGAGCTATATTGAAGAAAAAAAAAACCCAGCACTGACATATAGTGACAGCCCGTGAGGGAGCCTCTCTGTATACACTGCTCCTCTCCTGTCCCCTCCTTGCACACACTGCCCCCCCCCCCCCCACCCCCTTACAATTGGCCCCCTAAGTGATGGCAATAAAATCAGAAGTTAAAAAAATAATTAAAAATTTAAATTTAAAGTAGAAAAAAAATACAAAAAAGTGGAGCCTCCCCACCCCCACATACACAGACGTTTTGATTTCGGTTCAGTTTTTTCGGCCATGTGCATTCTGAATCTTCGGTATCGGGTTTCGGTGCCAGAATTGTAATTTCTGTGCACCACTACCTTGAACGCAGTTTATTCATTTAAGGTCTTTAGGCCATTTTGTATGCAAACCTTCTAATGGCTTTTTCCAGGTTAAAGGTACAGCCTTAGTACTTTTATATAATCCTTCTTTTTTTTTTTTTTTTTTTTGTTCCACTGCAGCTCCTGCTTTTAGTGGTTCAAGTATACCTAATGGATATCCACGTTACCCATCTTTTGGTGATGCATCTTCACATCCCTCTAGTAGACATCCATCAGTAGGGAGCACACGCCTTCCTTCTCTGTGGGAGAGGAGTCTACGCACCCATTGCTTGCTCCTGAAGATCATGTAAGTAGCTCCATATTATGTCTATATTCTGTGTATTGTGTGTGCCTGTAGCTTTTTCAAATGTTGTAAGCTGTATAGCAGTGTTATCCAGGTGGCTGCACACATCTTTACTTTTTTTCAAGAGAGCCCTATCAGCTCCTAAGCGATTATGTGCTGTGTTTAGGAGATATTCACACGGGATGCAGTCTGGGACATCACCGGCTCATGCTCTCTGAAGGGACTGAATACTCCGGAGTCTGAAGAGCATTGTATCCATGATCAGTGGATTGTGGGTGCTGTGTCAGGGTCCTGCAGACTTTATACACCTCTGTGCCTATATCTCTGTACAGGCTTCCAGTTTCAGAGCTGTAGCAGGAGTGAATAGACTGAGTGCGTTGATCAACACGCACGCAAGCCACTGAAATTACAAGGTCGTCTGCTGTGGTGGTAAACAGGACTTGTTGTTTTTTCATTTATAGAACAATTTTAAAATGTGACAGTGGGAGAAAAGACCTGGCCACTGTTACTGGATTGTGTGGGGCGCTGCATAGCAACACATTACAATTTACACCCTAAATAACCCATATTTAGAGTGTAAACTGTAATGTGTAACATGTTACTACCATTGAACTTATCCTTGTAGGTTCTGCCTTTCACAGTGCCAAAGGCATCAGTATTGATTGCCTTAGAATTGTTGCCTGCTTGCAAATAAGGGCTCGGGAACATGCATAAAACTCTTGACAGATAAGCATAAGGAGAACAATCCTTCACCACACAGAGGACATAGATGTTAGCTGAACCAGGGAGGAAATGTGTGGTCAGTGATTACTGAACATGCCATTATCTCTGAGAAATGTGTATATGAGCAGGGTGATATATTGCCTTATTGCTGTGGCATGGATGAGCGTGAACTTCTAAGTATATCTTCACTTACATTTTCAGACTGCATTTGCTGCTGATCCTGTCACAAATGCAGCTCACTGTAAATGTATCTTGCTAAATGTTTTGTGTGGCAATGTGGAGAAAGTATAGGGGAATGAATAACCTATGTTACAGGAGTATTTCTAGAGTGGTTCTGGTGCTTGCTTGACTTCAGAGAACAAACAACCTGTGTCATTATCTTCTCATAGAAACTGCAACTCAAATGACACCGTACAATGACTAGGATCAACAGGTCCCAAAACTAGCAGTAGGTCTTTGGGTGTCTCAACCTAGTATTTGGCACGTGAGTCAGGAATTTGTTGCTTTCATCAGCCTTAAATCTACAGTATATACCTATGGGATAAGGCTCTTGTTCCATTTATGACTTTTGCTCCTGTATTGACTTTTTGTGTCTTCTCCAGGTGCATACGTATGTTAACACAACTGGGGTGCAAGAAGATCAAAGGCAAAGTGTACCGGCACCACTTGAGCAACGTCTGTCAAACGCTGAAGGAAGTGCAGCCAAAGTTGAGCCCAGTTCCATCCCAGAGAGAGACCCCCAAGTTATCCTGGAACCTGAAGGAGTGAAGTTTGTTTTAGGACCAACTCCTGTTCAAAGACAGTTGATGGAGAAACAAAAGCTGGAGAAACTTGAGGAACAACAAGCTGTCGGAAAGGATAGCAGCAGTAGCTGCCCTAATAGCACAGAGTGGGACACTGGTTATGACAGTGATGAACGCCGCGATACCCCTTCTGGCAATAAGATGGTGTATGAAAATGTTAATGGACTATCTCTGCCTTCTTCTGGCTTAGGAGGGGACGTATTCCACCACCTCTCTCCACCGATGTCCAAAATATTAATAACTCTGCCCAGAGGAGAACTGCATTAATAAACTATGAAAATTTACCATCTCTTCCTCCGGTTTGGGAAGCCCGAAAATCCAGTAAGGAAGAAGATGACCTGTTAGGACCAAAGACACCATCTATAAATGGATTTCATAATAGTCTAGACCCCATGCATAACTATGTAAACACGGAGAACGTAACTGTCCCACTAAGTGCTCACAAGGTTGAGTTTTCTAGGCGTCGGGACTGCACACCCACTGTTTTTAATTTTGATATAAGACGCCCAAGCTTAGAACATAGGCAGCTTAATTATATACAGGTTGATTTGGAAGGTGGCAGTGACTCTGATAACCCCCAGACACCGAAGACCCCTACCACTCCTCTTCCGCAAACTCCAACCAGACGCACAGAGCTTTATGCTGTGATAGACATTGAAAGAACTGCTGCTATGTCCAACCTGCAGAAAGCACTGCCGCGTGATGATGGTACTTCTAGAAAGACTAGACACAACAGTACTGACCTACCCATGTGAGCAGGTTACACCTTTTGCACCTTTTTGTGTACTTCTTTTACAAAAGACAAATGCTTGTATAAACAGAAATGGAAAAATCTACCTTTCACGTCTTAAACACTAACACTATTTCCTAGGTTTTATTTTTTGTTTTCATGTGCTTTTGTCTAAAGGGAATTTATGTAGAGCAGGTACTCCTCAATAAGGTTCACTCTACAGTAGTAGTATGTACTGTATAGTTGCATAGCTGTATTGCCTTTTTTTTTTACCTATTTAATTAAGTTAGGTTGCAGTGACATGCCAATTTTGAGTTTATAAACCTACTAGAATTTGCCTATGTTTTTTGCATCTAGACTGTTGCCATTTAAAGCTAAAGATAACTTTATTTTTTGGGATGTCATTTACAGTATGAATGTGTGAAATTATATACAAGTATGTATTTTTATACTAACTTTTTATGAGTCCAGAATTTTGCCAAATTTGTCGCACCAGCATTTTGCATTGAGGCCATTGGTACGACTGTGTATTTACATTTGACAGAGTGTTAAAAAGTGCTGTTCCAACATGCGACATCACTCAAGCGTGTTACTTTTTTTTTTTTTTTTTTTTTTGCACATGAAGCACTATTCAGACTATTCTCCCAAAGTGGCTGTTGGTGTCTTAATTTTCATGACAGGCTTTTGGGTGTATAGGAATCTAGTTCCATGCGTGAAGGTTTGGTGTTTTTAGTTACAGTATGTCAGGGTTGCATTTGTATAATGCAGACACATATACATTTTGTATAAAGGCCAAAAATGATTCCCACTTTTTTATCACATTGTATGATATTGTAAGATTATTGTATGTTCCTAATTTGCATTATAAATTTAAATTTTTTTCATACTTAAAAGTATATAAACAGTAACTTTTGTATAAAGGTAGTGTAGACAATTTTTGATTTTTTTTTCTTTTTTTTTTTTTTTTTTTTTTTTTTATATGTAGATGTGCATTGCCAAACGTTCCATGACATTTAAAAAAAAAAAAAAAATCTTGGGTTTATATCTGGACTTAACATTCCATGATACTGTCTTGATATATGACCCTTCGAATGCTAGGAAGCGCTCAGCAAAAGAATTGGCAGTCTTTGTTTCTACATCATGTGTTATGCTGAGCCAACTGGGTGCTTAAGGTTGTCTTTTCTTGGACTACCACAATTTGCAGAGTAGCTTCTGCTGTTTGCACTGAAGGGTTCAAGCAAATTATACTATGCAGACAACTTTTTTAAGAAGAAAACTGTGTTCCATTCTGAATAGTTGCTTTTAATTTAATTTTGGTGTGCATCAGGTACTGATATTGCTTACCAAATGTTCATTAAAATATATATTTTTTTGATATTGACTACATTTTTCATTTCATTGGTGCCAACATCATTTTGTAGCATGGCAATAAAATACTGATTACACATAAGCTTGTTGGCTCTTTCTTTATTGTGAAACTTTACATAAATAATAATAAAAAAAAAAATTCCAAAAGGCAGGATTTTTAATGCCGAAGAAACATACTATGGTGGTGTGCCAATTCTGCCCGTGGCCATGGTTAGAGATCTTCTGCCGTAATACCTGATCCTTCCCAACTGCTGCTGCTCTGCTACTTTGTGCTCTACGCTATGTGAGTTTGTGTAAAGTTCTTTTATAACGAAATGTTCAGAAATTGATGCACTGTCTTCATGTGCTGCTTTTTGTTTTGAGTGTTTTGCAGTTCAGATTACAGTGCACACACAGTAGTCTGTGCTCCTGTTCCATATTCCTTAGTGCTTCTGTATAAATATATAAAACAGCACACATCACCTATTATAATAAAGAACACAAGAAATTTGCTCCTCCCACTGAGAAACTCTGCATTTACTCATTGAGAACAACAAAGCAACTTGCATTATACGGATAGTTGCTTTTCCAAGGATTCAATGTGCAGATGGGGCAGGCCCTGCATTAACTCATCCAGATAAATAGCTGTTGCGTGCAGCACATAAGACACAGTTGCCATGACTGACTGACGCCTCCTGTAGTTCAGGTGGTGTCCAGGAGTCAGTGGGCTTTTTGTAGGAGTGGGCATATCCACACTATTGTGTAGACTATTTGGCAGACTCCCCACACCAAAATTCTCACCTGGCTGTTATGTCAGTGCTGATGTGCAGGATCTTGTGGCTGTGAAGCTAGTCTGTGGTGGCAGCCAAAAGAGGAGCTACTGAAAAAAGTCAAAGTGCCTAAGGCAAAACTGACATTCCTGGATTTCAGAAGATAACTTTTCATCCTTCCAACTTTCAAGGTTTAATTTTAAGGAGGGATTGTTCCAGTTCTGTGAGGAACAGTTCAAGGGTTTTATCAAAACCTATTTACAGTTTGCATTCACCTATTCTAGATTTAAAATTTTTAGGATAGACATCCTCCCAACTCCTGGCAGACCCTCTGCGGGTACTTCCAGACCGATCAGACATGCTATCTCAAGGACTGCACTGTAATCCTGCTTCACAGTCTCTGGCTTTGATGGTTTGGCTATTGAAGCCCAGGTCCTGAGGGACCAGGGTCTGTGACTCGCACTTGAAAAGCTTACTTCACGTGGTGTGAGGAATGGAAGCTTAGATGTTACTCTGCAGGATAAATTTCTGGCTTTTTTCCAGGTTGGCCTGTATGAGCACTTGGCCTTGAGTATCCTTAAGGGTTGGATTTTGGCCTTCGCTAATCTGTCAGAGACCTTTAGCCACTCTCTGGTGAAGACACATAGTTCCCCCATTCGATCCCCAGTGTCACTACTGGATCTTAATCTGTTCTTGTTAGCTCTTCGGCAGCCTCTCATTGAGCCCCAGAGAAATTCCCTTGGCTGACCTTACTCATAAGGTGGCCTTGATCATGGTGTGATGTTGGTCTGACTTGGAACTGGCAGCTTTGTCTTGTAAAGCGCTTTTCCGTGTTCTCCATAAAGATATGGTGGTTTTGAGACCCAAGGGCTTCTTATCTTCATTTCTTGTTCTTTCCTCCCTTTCCTGTTAAGAACACCTCTGCTTTTTCATTTGGTACCTCTTCTCTGCTTCAAGTATCTGTTTCTCATATTTACAGGGCTGCCACCTGATCCTCAGTTCACATGATAGTGAAGTCCTATCAGGTAGATAGGCAGCTTTGGCCAAAGATGCTGCAGGTCACTCTTAGGACCTAGTTTATGGACCTGTTGGCTTTATTACTGTGTTGTTCTCCCCACTGTTAAGTTGCTTGGTGTCAACACAGAGTCCATAATTTAAGCAGCCTGTGTCCTGTATAGTACAATTAAGTAATAAGCAATTTTTGCTTGCCTGTTAAAAAATGTTGATTTTAACAAGCGAAAATTTAATTATAAAATTAATTCAGAACACTCAAACATATATTTTCCAAAAGCAAAGCCTTAGAGAATAAAATGGTGGCCTTTGCCATTTTTTTTTTTTTATCTCGGTTTACGAACGCCTTGGTTAACGTAATTTTTGGTTTACGAATGAAAATCCATTGAAAATAATGCCTTGGTTTACAAATTTTTTTTACAATACAAAGTGTATGTCGGTGCCAATTTTTAAATGCAATTGTCGGCTTTTTTTTTTTTTCTTCACTATGGCTCACAGAATTAGCTGTCACTTTCCCAGGGGCTAAAGGATACTTTGTTTCTTTTCTCTCAGGAAACAACTTAAAAGGAAACATTGTTTCTTTTAACTTGTGGAAATAAACTAAAAGGAAACTTTCTTTTAGCTGGGGGGAAAGTGACAGCTGATTCTCTGAGCTATAGTGAAGGAAAAAAAAAAAGCTGATTACATTTAAAAACCGGCACTGACCTATAGTGACAGCGACTTTTTTTTTTCTGACCTCCAGAATGGACTAATTGGTTTTCAGTGCATTCCTATGGGTATCCACGTTTCGGTTTACAAATTTTTTGCAAAAAGAAATGTCCCGGAGGACGCATTAAATTTGTAAACTGTGGTACACCTGTATGTTGCTTGATACTTCTGCTGCCATATATCAAATACAAATTTTCAAGAAAAAATGCACTAAAATAAATTACTCAACGCAATATAAAATATGGGGTTGTGTCCAGTAAATAGATACCAAACACGACAAACTTAAAAACTGCACTCGCCCATGAAATGGCGAAGAATTACAGTACCTAAAAAATTTTTTAAAGGCTTTACAGGTTCAGTTTACAGCCAACCAAGAATTTTGGAACTAGAATCATTGTTCTCACTCTTAAGTTCAGAGACACCTCACGTATGGTGCAATCGCTGTTTATATACACATCTTGGACCTATGCTGTTTTTGTATTTGCATGTGTGCACATGGATAAGGATCCCAGATCACTTTTACTGAACAACCAATTGCTAACTGTAGCTATGAGCTTGTTTTAACTATTTCATTTTAGGACGTTTTTACTAATTTTATGGATGTGAAGTGGTTAAATGAGCTTGTGTCCTGTACTGTATTCCAAGAAAATTATTTTACAGGGAAGTAAAACATTTTTGTGTGAATACACTGGTGAGGAACTCAATGAGGGGGCATTTAGAAAGTAAATTACCAACACAGTTGGACACAAATCAGACTCTCTCACATTTAGTACACTACTGTATATGTTTTATGTTTTGTTTTTGTTTTTTTTGCTCCTGCAATACCAGGAAACCAACTAAGACAGATTTGCAAATATATAGCACTGAAGGATATCATTTTTTTTTTTTTTTTTTTACAATATTTTCATCTCTTGCTCCTTATGTCAGCGTCGGCTCTAACCCCGCATGACCACCTTTTAGTTTTTAATAGAGACCGATCCCTTCGATAGTAATAGAAAATAGGGAGGGAGCATATATTGAGGGGAGCCACAAAAGGAAAATTTTGGTAAGTATGTAATTAAATAATTTGTTTTTTTTTTTCTCTTAGGTTCATTGATGGACACAGCTTTTCTATTCTTGACCATAGGGTTATATTGCCACCTACAGGAGTAGGACACTAGACCGAAAAAAAAAAAAAAACACCACCTAT